CCAGTGCAACTCTTGTCACCATCTCCAGTGCTGTGTCCCTAGTCCAAGCCACAGCCTTCAACTCTGGGATGCTGCAATGGCTTCCCCATCAGCTTTCCTCCCTCGGCCCCAGCCCCAGCCCCAGCCCCAGCCCCAGCCCCCTCTTGTCCATCTCCCATGCAGCAGCCTCCTGAAGCATAAATCAGATTCTGTATCAGGTCCTGGCTTAAAACCTACCAGTGACTCTCACTGAAACCGGAAATACATACATCTATACCGTTTATTAAAGCCACGAGGCTTCTGCCCCTGTCTCTGACCTCGCCCCCTTCTACTCTCCCTTGATCCCTTGCACGAACCCCAGGGACCTTGCCAAGTTTTTTCCTCTCTCATGGCCTTTCCACTGCTGTTTCTTTCACTTGGAAGCTCTTCCCCAGATCTTTAGCACATGTCACTACATGCAATTACCCTTTTCATGTATGTTTTTTAAAATTGATTTTGGAGAGGGAGGGAGGCAGGGGGTGGGGAGGGAGAGACATGGATGTGAAAGAGATACATCGATCAGTTGCCTCCCATATGTGCCCCCACTGGGAATTGAACCCGCAACCCAGATATGTGCCATGACTGGAAATGGAACCCAGGACCTTCCGGTGCACAGGATGATGGTCCCACCACCTGAGCCACACTGGCCAGGGCATGTGTTTGTTTGACACATGTTGCATGTCCCCACAGCCCCGCACTCCCGAGCAGAAGAGAACAATAGCTCTTGTCTATCTGTTTACAGCTGTGCCCAGAGCCTGGAGCAGGGCCTGACATAGGCAAAGCTCAGTACCATCTGTTGACTGGCTTGACTGTGCGCACCAGAGCCAGGACGGTTAGAGCTAGAAGAGAAACAGTCCACCTCATGGCTTCACACACGGGGAAGCAGGCACAGATAGAGTCACTCGTCCGGCGGTGCGAATGCCAACGTGCAAGCCAAGAAGCCAAGCTGGTCATACCCAACCCTGAGGCTCTTTTTCATGCACAGTTGTAGCTACTGAAAGGGAGGGTTACTTCACCCTGCAAGCTGCCTGCCAGTTATCATGGAAGCAGATCTCAGAACAAATTCTGTTGCCCATACAAATATTGATGAAACAAACATTTATTAGCAAGTAGCCACAAAACCGGTTCATATAATCTGTTCCGTAAGGTCAGTGAAGGCCCAGGTCTGGGTCCTTTTAGGTGCTTGACCACCTTGTAATAAAGGGCCACTCAAGGAAGGTACAGCAGTGTAGAGGCAGGATTCAGTTAGACCAGTGGTCAGCAACCCGCGGCTCGCGAGCCACATGCGGCTCTTGGGCCCTTTGAGTGGGGCTCTTCCACAAAATACCACGTCTGCGCATGGGCCACGCAGTTTCAATCGCACTGTGCATGCGCGCCCGCACGTGGGATTTTGTGGAAGAGCCACACTCAAGGGGCCAAAGAGCCGCGTGTGGCTCACGAGCCACAGTTTGCTGACCACTGAGTTAGACTGATGGTTACATCAGGCAACCAGAATACCGTGGGACATGGGATCCCCAAGGGTTCAACTCTGTGCATCATACCTAAGTGATTTTCCCCCCCAAAATGTTTTCATTGATTTGTTAGAGAGAGAGAGAGAGAGAGAGAGAGATAGAGAGAGAGAGAGAAACATTAATTGGCTATCTCCTGCAGGCCCCTTATTGGAGAGGACCACAACCAGGGCATGTGCCCTGACCCGGAATCAAATGGGTGACCTTTTGGTGTATGGGATGCAGCTCAACCAATGGAGCCACACCCGTTAGGGCTGAGATCTGTTTACTCCGAACAAGGACTTAGTGGTGACCCCAAACCATTTAAGCCAATCTACACAGCTCCAATACTACTAATTTCCCCAAAGGGGAGCTCATTTCTAATACCTGCTATGCCAGTTCATAATCCCTGAATATCACTGATACACTCATTGTGGCATTCTCTATGCTAATCAGGAAAGGCTGGGAGTGGGGTGAGGGTGGATGTAGACACGGAGAACTGTAGAGGCGGCTGAACTGATTGTGTGTGAGTGTGTAGGTTTCTTTAATTCCCAGGTTAATTTACCTTGAGTTGGAAATGTGAAGTCAGATGTGGTGGAAGTATTTACACTATGGAAATTGGCAACAGGGTCCTCCCCCATGGAGTGACAGTCATGACGCATTTATCAGCAGACTGCTGGATAGGCTGTGACCTCTGGTGTGTGACCTTCTGATACAGTGTGGCTGACCACCTCCCCCTCATGACTACCTCTACACCAGGGATGCGCAGTCCTGGCTGCACTTTAGCAAGTGCCGGGACCTTTAAAAGAACAGCGATTCCCAGGCACCTGTAGGTGGAGATTCCGATTTGACTGGGATGGGGTTCAGGGATCAAGACACATTCAGAGCTCACCAGGTGATTCTGGCCTGCAGCCAGGGTCCCACTCACACCTGCATGTCACACTCTCTATGCCATGTATTCTAAGTGTCACAGAAAGTTAATGGCAAAACCAGGATCGGCAGCAGACCTGCTGACCCCCAGCCCAGAGCTCCTAGCAAAAGGAGGAAAAAGTTGAAAATAGGTTGTCACTTCCGAGGTTTCAGTGTCTGCAAAATGGCTGAGGGGCAGCTCTCAGCACTTGGGGTTCAGGTTGGGGGTGGGGAGGGACGATGAGGAGCTCAGGAGGCCAGGGAAGGCTGTGCCAGCCCCAAAGAGCTCCAGGCTCCCTCTGCAGGGGTGTCTCAGCTTCGTTTTCCAGGGCATCTTACAGGGCTCAGATGTGTGTGTGTGTGTGTGTGTGTGTGTGTGTGTGTGTGTGTGTGCTAGGAGGCTAATCCCCAGGGAGAGGGAGACAGATTAATCCCTCAGGGGACAAGGTGCTGAACTAGCACTCCAGGGGGTAGAGACCAAAGCCTTGAAGAGTGCATGTAAGACCAGCTCTGCAGGGTGCGTGAAGGTAACTACTAGCATAGAGAATACCATAAGTGTATCAGTAATATTCATGGCTTATTAACTAGCAAAGAAGGACAAGGAGTTAATATTTTCCTCCTCAAAGAACAGAAAGTGTGGTGGGCAGTTAGACAGACATGAGCAGAGCAAGGACTATGGGCCGGTACAGAAGGTCGCCAGGGTGGAAAGCCCTGGGTGCCTAGCAAAGGACACAGATAGGGTGGGGCCTTGTCCCCAGGGTGACATTTCCTCTCTAGCATATCACTGGTCATGCCATTTGGACCTCCTGACTTTTCCTTCCTAGAGATGACATCTAGGCCTCAGTGGTACTTCAGGTCCAAACCCAGAAAAGCTGCAAAACCAGACAAGCGAGGCCAAAGCTGACCTCAGGACCAGCTGCACTGGATAATGACCCCGCGCCCTGGCTCCGACCAAGCAGTCAGTGGAGATCTAGATTCTAGACCAGTGATGGGGAATCACCTGGGAATCTTTTTAAAATCCTGATTTCTGGGCCTCATCCTCCGGAAATTCTGTTTCTTTGTTATGGGGTGGGGCCACAACATTAGTAACAAAGAAACAGAATTTCCGGAGGATGAGGCCCAGAAATCAGGATTTTAAAAAGATTCCCAGGTGATTCTAATGTGCAGCCAAGGTTGAGAAGCACTGCTCTATAACGTTTCCTCAGCTCATTTCTTCTACGAATTACTTCCACCTCTGTGATTTTTCTAAATGTTCTCTTATAGTTTGAGTAGTGGCTCTGAATTCTTTCCTAGCCAGAACTCAAGTACTGAGGTTACTGAGCCCAGGTCTGGTCTGACCCCACGGATCTAACACCTGGTACTGTTACGATTGCCCCCAGCAAAAGGGCCACTCTGAACACTATGGTCAGATGCGTTCTTAGACCTTGGTTATCCATCTGAAGGTGACTTGCAGCAGTCCCTGGTTCCACGTCTCTACCCAAGGGGCCCTTACAGAGCCGGCTTCTTTGCACCAAGAAACTTGAGTTCCCTTTCACCCTTTGGGGCAGGGGAGGCTCCCTGCCCACCCCCAGCCTTCCCTTAGTTCTTCCTTCAGGGCAGAGCTCTGGGTGTTGGGCTGGCCAAGTGTCAGTCTCCCTCTGGGAGTCTGTGTGTGCAGGAGGCTCAGAGTCCACAACAAGGGACCAGGACAAGGGTGCCATTCCTGCAGTCGCCACCAGGGACCCGCCCAGCAGGGCCTTGCACGTGACCTCTGGGCCACACATTTAATGACAAAACAACAAACACAGATGGACTCCCAGGCTGACCGGGCCTGGGAAGCAAGGAAACAGCAGTGAGCCAAGCTGGGGCCATCTAGCTGTGGGAGAGTCTCACAGGCAGGTCTGGCTCCAGGCAGAGGAAGGCCGGTGGGAAGAGGCTGGGTCAGATCTGGGCTGAGTGTGCAGGGAAGGGGGGCGCTAAACTGGCCTGAGGATGGGCGTGGAAGAGGGCTTCCCGGAGAGCAGGGTTGGGATCTCACCTGGCCACGGAGAAGACTGGTTGGGGAAAAGGGGTCCGTTAGAAAAGGAAACTCAGGGTCCCCGCTCCATGGGGGGCCCGTTAGCCCCACCCTGGTCTGCTGCACCTTCCTAGACCCGGCCCTCAGCCCTCCTCAGGCTGAGCAACTCCACTTCCTTATTACACTTCACATCTTGCCCATTTTAGCACTTGAGCGGTTAGGTTCTGCCCTATTCCCATAGTCTTCCCTCTTGACAATGGTGGAAAGTGTGCATTTTCCTATGTACCCGGATTGGGCACGCTCTCTCTCTCCTTACAGCTCCTCTGTACACATCCTCTCACGCCCCACGAGTACAGCCGTTTCCAGAGTTGCACGCGAAACTCCTTTGCAAAAACCTCGCCCCCTCCCCTCCCTTCCCCTAGTCTGGGTCTCCGGCTGCAGCCCCGCCCTCATCCCGCCCCCTCCCAGAGGCTGGGCCGGTGCTTCGAGCCCATTGGCCGCTGGGGCTGGCTGGTCCCGGGCCGGGCCGTGCT